GAGCCCCCGGAGCACCGAGGGGGGGGGGTCGGGTCGGGTCGCTGTCCCCCCGCACCCCCCGTGTGCGGCTTCGGAACAGGCAAGGTCAGGTTGCTGTTTGCTAGCAAGCTATGTATTTTAAACGAAAGTAGCTCGTTCTAGAGGCTTTCCTCCCTTTCATGAGATGGGCACGTACCCTCACAGCTCCTTGAGGCTGCTAAATTCCACATTTTTTCTTAAAAAAGCCGCATTATAGGATTTTTTTGGTTGGACAAGACATTTAGGATCATCTAGTCCAACCCAGCGCTGCCAAGTTCACCACTAAACCATGTTCCTCAGCACCACATCTACAATTCTTTTAAATACCCCCAGGGACAGTGACTGACCCAGCTCCTGAGCACCCTGTCCCAGGGCCTGACTAGCCCTTTCAGGAGATAAATTTCTCCCAATACCCAGTCCAAACCCCCACTTGCACAACTTGAGGCCATCTCCTCCTCTATCACTTGTAACTTGGGAGAAGGAACCAACACCCACCTTGCTACAAAGTCCTTTCAGGGAGTTGTAGAGAGCAAGAAGATCTCCCCTCAGCCTCCTTTTCTACAGGATAAACAACCTCAGCTCTCTCAGCTGCTATTCATCAGCTCATTATTATTAAGCCTGGCAAAAGCATTGGATTGGCCAGGGTCACATCTGGGGTTCAGTCCTGCCAGCTGAGGCACCCAGGAGGTGCTGCCATGGGGGAACCTGCAATGCCCTTGGACAAGGAGCACTATCAGCCTTGGCATCAGGCTGGAGCAGCCCGAGGGCTGGGGTTTACAGCACTTGGCCCTTTGTAACCACCCAGCTGGGCTGGTACCACGCTGGGATGGCATCCTCAGGGCACGGTCACTGGTCTGGCCACGGCCCCCAAGCCACACTTGTCTCTGCAGGTGAATACAGCACCAGTGAGGAAGATCACACCGAGCAGAGGCGGAAGGTGGTGAAAATCCTTCCCCACCACACCTACAACGCCACCATCAACAAACACCACAACGACATTGCCCTCCTGGAGCTGGACCAGCCACTCACCTTCAACAGCTACGTCACCCCCATCTGCATTGGTACCCAGAAGTTCACCAACGACCTGCTGAAGCACGGGACGGGGACAGTGAGCGGCTGGGGCAGCACGCTGTTCCGGGGCCGACCAGCCACCATCCTCCAGGTCCTCCAGGTGCCTTATGTTGACCGGCCAACCTGCCTCAAGAGCACCTCCACCACCATCCTGCAGAACATGTTCTGTGCAGGCTTTGCTGCTGGGGGCAGGGACACCTGTGGGGGTGACAGTGGAGGTCCCTACACCACCGAGATTGAGGGCACCTGGTTTCTCACAGGGATCACCAGCTGGGGTGAGGAATGTGCCAAGCCAGGTAAATATGGCATCTACACCAGGGTCTCCAAGTACCTGAAGTGGATAAGGGACACCACAACACTCAACTAACCCACAGGAGGTTCTCCTGTGCTGGGGGATGGACTGGTTTGTTGAAGAGAGACCATAGGAACTGACATGTTTTTCAGAAATTGTTGCATTTTAATAAATATTTCTGAATGAACTGATTTCTGCTCTTGGAATGCAAAAGTTGAGAAAGCACAGTGGAAATGTGGTAATAAGGAAATAAAAAGCCCTTTTAATTACCCCTGGCTGCATTCCTGAACACGCTGGTGCTGCTGAGATGGGGAAAGTCCCCAAATCCTGAATGCAGAGGCTGGTGTGGATGAGCTGGGGCACAGCTCTCATGTGCTCCAGGCCAGCACCACTGGCATTGCCCCAGCTGCTGCCCAGTGCCCCGGGCAAGGGGAGCCCAGCAGGCACTGGGCGCCTACGGGCACCCACATCCAACATTGTCCTTGTAGCAGGAGCTCATGAGGGCAGTGTAAGGTCTGAGAGGGTGGGAGAAACCTTGCAGGAAGGTGCCTGCCCCGTGCCTGGGGTGGGTGCTGGCACCCAGGCAGAGGGGACGTGGCATCCTGGGGAAGGCCATGCCAGGCAGAGGTCTGGGGCCAGGCTGCCTCAAATGGACTTAGTTTGGTTCCAACTCTGAGGGGAGGGAATAACCCCAGAGAAAAGGAGGTATAGCACTGATCAATGCTGGTTCATCTCATTCCTCCATCCACAGAAAACTCCAGGGGTGTTTTCTACAGGGACACAGCATGGCTTTTGGGATCCACACCCTGTGATGCCTGGCATGGGCAGCTTGTGTGCAGGCAACACGTGCAGGACCACAGCATGTCCCCAGAGGCTAAACCCCAGTGATGGGGTTTCCTCACTCCTGCTGGCTGACAGGAGCCCCCAAGACCACCTCTCCCCCCTCCCCACCTGCAGAAGGGTTCCTGTGCACCCACACACAGCTCAGTTCCCAGGATGGAGATCCCTCCAAGCTGTGCTGCCTGCTGCTGGGATGCAGGACCACAGAGGCTGGGGATGAAGACACCCTGAGCCAGGGCAGGACTTCAAGAGCTGCTATTTCAGATGTCAGTATGAGGGCTGAGGTGCCTCTCCCAATTTCCTTGCCACAACATCCAGCAAGAAGCTAATCAGATCATCTGCCACTGCTTATTTTAAAATCAAAATGCATGTAAAAAGGTGGCTTGTTCTGAAGAAACTAAATAAAACAAACACTGTAAGAATTATTTTCTTTTTTTCTCTAGCAGAGGACAGAATTGCATACTTTCATATGAATTTATTTAACAAGTTTTTAATCTTTAAATATAGATTTAACACATTTTTTTACAGGTACATATACAATATAGTTCATTTAAACTTGCAGTCAGAGAAAATTCTCTACTGTAATGTATAATAACATATACATGAAGAGCCTAGTTCAACAGCATACTTAAGGTAACATACCATGTCGTGTGCAAAGTTTCAAATGTTAAAAATCTCAGACTGTACATTCAGATTTGCAGAACTTATCAACCTCATAAATTAATAAAAGCCTAGATTTAAAACTATGGAAGACAAAAAAGATTAAAACCATTTAATATGCAATGTGTGCTATGTTTGAGACAAGTATTTACAGCTGTACCTCAAAATGTGTACTGTTACCACAATTGTTACCACTAGAAACAGCCCTGACAGTAACTTGAGAGACTCCTGCCCTTCCACCCAGCAAGTGCATTGGGGCCCATTTTAAACTAGATGGAAATAACCTTCAGTGACTTAAACCCTCTCTGCTGTGATTGCCAGTGGCTGAAAAACACTGGGATCTTTCTGGGTTGCTCAGTTCAGACTTAGCTGGTCACATTTTTGAGGGTGTATGGGGGTTACCTGGAATACCAGCCACCCAAACTGGAGAAGTGTCCAGCACTGGGGAACCCTAGGGCAATCACAGCCATCCAGAAGTTCAACCACTCCTCCGTACAAAAGCGGCCACCAAAAACACACAACAACCTTAGCATGTTTTAGCTTAACAACTTGGGACTGTGCCTAAGAATCCATGGTTCACAAATCCAAGTCAGATCATAAAGGTCCCTCCATAAAGGTCCACAGCATTAAACGTTTCACCTTGATGGGACAAACTCACTACTGCATGCACTCTACTGACCCTGTTCTCAACACAGATGCTCTTTGCACACATCTGCTTCATAGTCAAACCACCTGTACCTATGTTCTACAAAAGCAAAACTAGACAAAGAAACACAAAATTAAATTATGAGTGCTCAATATTCTTTCTTCTTTCTCAAAAATTCAAGATACATTATTGTTAAAGATGCTGAAAAGTACAGTCTTATCACAAGAACATTCTTAGTGCAAACATGGACATTTAACTTTGATTTATGGCACGTGTTCCAAAAGTACATACAATTAATGTAAACTTCAACACTTGCTAGATACAGGTTTCAGCCTTGGGACACTTTGGGACCCTAAGTGATTGGTGACAACCCTGAGTTGTCAGTTTGACCTGATCCAAACCTCACTGAAGTCAATGGGTCTGACTGCAACGGGCTGGAGCCAGACCCTAAGTGCAAAAAGAGGATTGTTGGTGTTATTGCATCTTCACATGTGAGTCAGCCAGATGATGCTCCTACAGACCATTACATTCACATAGCTGAAGTAGATATTTAAGAAAAATCCATTCATCAAATCAATTAAGCAGAACAAACAGCTTCTTTGTTTGGTTTGGGTTTTTTTGGTTTGATTTTTGATTTTTATTTTTTTTTGGTTTACCAAAACTCAACTCTTTTATTTGCAACTTCAACAGCTGTCAGCTAATAAGTAGGTAAAGCCTTCAACCTGGAGAGGAAATTTCAAGCATCTAAACAAAGTGTCAGGAAACTGTAGTGTACTTCTCTGATGAAACATGATGGATGTCATGGAAAAACAGCAGGTAAAATTAATAAAATACTGTACTTTCCACAGGAGAAATAAAAGAAAGAGCAGAGAATGGCTTCCTTTATGATTATGAGAAGCTGCTTAGGACCCCGGTCCCGTTCAGTGCAGATGAGGCTGTGGAGGTCTGTGAATGTGATGAATAGTACAGGACAACTCCAACTATTGTGCTATTTCTCTGTAACACTTAGTTGAAAGCTTCCAAAGAGCATCGAAAATAGGATGCTACTAGTTCACCCTTAATTCAAGGGGAACTAAACTTTCTTGTGTTACACAGGGCAGCATCTATAAAGTAATGAAGAATGATGTTAATATTAAAGCATCTTATTCCGAGAAATACATAGTTCCCTGTAATCGTGTAACATTTGTATAACACAAAAAAGTCTAAGTGCACTCCTGCAGTTCTCCCTAAAAGCTGAACTCCCACTAACTTTAGTGAGAGCCTCGTCTAAGGCAGGACCACAGGGTTTGACTCATTTCCACCATCTATCACTTGATTATCACAGCACAGCCAGCTGCTGTCTTCTCTAGGCTCAAAATGTTTTTTTATAGCATCACAAAAGAGCTGTTCTGCCAAGCTGGCTGCCATCCTAGGTTGTACATGGAGGCCCTGCTTCACCTTTCAAAGGCTAAAAAGAAATCAACGTTACCTTAATGGACCCTGCATAAACAGGAAAGCCTGTGGCTGCAATCGTTAAAGTGCATGAGCAATAGTGCAAACAGCTCTGCTGTATCTGCAAAACTACCAGTAGCATTGGGAACAGAACTGACACAAAACTTGAGCATTTCAGCTAACATGCTTATGCCAGCCTGCAAGAGCTCCATCACAAATAATACTCTATCAGGCAAATTCCAGCCCTGTGGCCTAGGGAGCCACATAAAGGGTCGTCTCAAGCTCACCATAGTCAAGAGGATGATGCCCACCACCCTGGCCAGCAGGAGCAGAGGACAGGCAAGCTCAGCCCTTCAGGCACTACCAGCGGGGGAAACTTTGCTCAGCTTTATTGCATGAAGAGCACACACAGGGGATCCCCTTAAGGCTTGGAAGTGATAATTTGGCAAGTGGGGTGTTCAAATGAACTAGAAGAGGATCTGGCATGTGGAACAGGAGCCTGCATCCTCCTTAAACCAAGCAGGTGCCTGTGCCTGCCCTGGCACAGAGCATCCTTCCGTGCCTGCTCCAATTGCCTTTGGGCTCCAGTCAAATTCTGTGGGCAGCTTCTTGGATGTTTAAAAGAACTTGGAAGCTGTATCAATGTTTCTTTATATATATAATCTTACAAGTAAAGGCATTTATCACTGCTTCCATTTTTCACTTGAATTCCTTTTTTAGTCAGGCCACTCTATTTCATGCTCCCTCTAAAAGAAATCGGTGTCACGCAACTTCCACGCAGTGAGTGGAAATCAGAAACCTGCCCTTCTCTCTGCCCAGCTTGTAAAGGTCAGGTGAAAAAAACTGAAAAAGCTTTGGCCTCATTTTGCTCTGATGTGACAATTTGGGAGTGAACAGCATGTTTCCATCTGCTTGCATCTGTTTATCACTGCTGAGAGAAGAGAAGAGGAAGGACAGAGCTTAACCTCGCTAAGAAGGGAGGCTGCGGCGCTGCTGGACGTGAACACTGGGTCACTGAAGTGAAAACAGATCAGGCATCTGCTTTGGGTTACAGCAAGGCCCTCCCTTCCTGCCATCCCTGCCCTCCCTTTGCCGTGACATGGGTGCTGCAGCCCAGCTGAGAGGAGAGATGCCTTTTTCTTCTCTGACATAGACACTGTCTCTGATGTAAATCATGATCTTTGGCACGTTTGCAACCAGGGAAATTGCAAAAATGTTTTGTCTCCTGCTCCACTGTGGAAGAGGAGTTGGGATCATAACACTGCACCCCTCACCTGCCCCCAGATGCACGTCTTGCACAAGGGCAGTGAAGAGAGAATCTCAATTCATTTACAAGTCAAGTCAGTTGACCAGTCTGAACACTTTAGCAAGGCAGTTTAAACTAGCAACACATGGGTAAATCTCACTAGTAACTGTTTTCTAAATATTGCTTCTTCTCAGTAGAGTTCTCCCCAGACCTTCTCCATTTTGAGACCTGTTTGTTATTACCTGTGATATG